CCTTGAGAAATACAGGATACACATCATTCATGTCATCAGCAGATATGTTATCTGACATATATATTATGACATATATACTAAGTCATGTCTTTGTCTATGCACAAAATTACTCTGGAAGGATATACAAGAAACTGGTAACGTTGGTTGTCTCAGAGAACTAGGTGGCTGAGAGACATGGCAAGAAGGAGAATATTTACCAAATTCTCCTCTGTACCTTTTTAAGTTTAAATCATGTGACTATATTATCCACCCCCAAAATAAAATGTACCAATTTTATATAGTCTTTAACTAAAATATATATATAATAAGGATATCTGAACATAATGTTTAAAAAAGTACTTTAGGGAATTCCTTGGCAGTCCAGTGGTTAGGACTCAGTGCTTTCACTGCTGGGGCCCAGGTTTAATCCCTGGTCGGGGAACTAAGATCCCACAAGCCACGTGACAGGGGTGGCGGGGTACTTTAAACTATGCCACCAAACGATGAGTTTGTTGATACTCTATAGTCTTCCTATCAAGGCCAAAGATAATGAGCTAGGGAGCTCTACAAAGGGGTAAAGGATTATAGCTGCTTTTAGGAGCTTTAGCACTAAACAGGGGATGCTCCAAGGCACTTGGAGTGTGGCAATTGGGCCACACTCGCTTTCCTGCTGGAGGTTTTTTGCCAATAGCATGTTTACTAAACGTAAGCTGGCATCTCTATTCTCAGGCTTAAATACCACTCTCCAGACAAAGGTTATCAAAGAGGATGAAGAACTCCCAGAGACAATGGAGGAAATAATTCAACTAGAAAATAAGGAAGTAAACATTTCTAAATTGTCACAGGAGAAAATTCATGTCAAGAGGTTGAGGGGCAGAAGAATATAACACAGAACAGAAACATAGAAAAAACCAGAAATCTGGAGAATAAACAGGAAGCTCCTCACCATCAGCAAGTGCAAAGTCATCCAGCTTCCCAGAAGGAGACAGGGGTTGGGGGGAGTGGCGGGGCGAGGGCGCATAATTGGTCACTCCCTATAAGGAAGAACGCAAAGGCAGCTTGCCAGCTGCTACCCATTCCAGCTGGTTAATAAGGGGGTGAACCAAACAACCAGAAGAACCCTGGAAAGTGTTTCTAGGGAAAAAAAATCTAAAGGATTTGGAGAACATAGGGGTGGGGGAGGCCTTTAGTAACAATCTTTCTCTCTTCTTCAAATTGATGGCTGAGACTTCAGAAAGAAAGGAGGAATGTTTATGACTGTCAATAAATTGGAGCTGACCTTCCAGATCCTACTGGAACATTCTTCTCCTTCCCTTCCTCCCAACCCTGGCTTACTCCTATCCGCCCTTTAGATGTCAGTCTAAATCCCACTTCTTCATCTAGAAGTTTTTACTGCCTTCCACCCAGGCACACAGTGTTATAAAAGCTTATGTTATTGTCTACCTGCTCCCATTAGCCTATAAGTTTAGGGAGGTGCAAGGGCCAAGTCTTCCATACTCACAAATGCATACTCAGCACCAAGCACAGCATATGGCGCCATTCTGATGAGTAAATATATGAATGATGATGGGCTCTCAGCCTGCTAAACGAGTGTTGTGGACAGGGAGTAGGAAGAACATGTTTGTCTGAATACTTGCCAATCTGATTATGAGAGCTTAAAATTGAAAATATAGAGAGAGAAATTCCCAGATAAAACTGGGAAAGAACATCAGGAACGACATAAGAACAGCAATGGGAGAGGTAACTATTAAGCCACAAAAGAAAATATCTGAAAATTAAGTTGCCAATATCTTAACTGAAGACATCTAGGGAATTCCCTGGTGGTCCAGTGGTTAGGTCTCTGCACTTTCATTGCAGGAGGCACAGACGGGTTCGATCCCTGGTTGGGGAACTAAGATCCTGCAAGCCACACAGTGCAGCCAAAAAATAAATAAATAAGATAAAATAAAAAGGACTGAAGGAAAGAGAAAAAGCAAAGGAATAAAGGAAGTTTATTTTTTTTTAAAAAGACATCTATAATAGAGATATCCAAAATCAGTTAAAGTTTATGAATTTTATGAAATAAATAAGACATGGTCCCTATCCACGAAAATCTGAGTTTAATGAATTTGTGAATGCAGTATGCCAATGATGGGCAAATCTCATTCAAATCTTAAAGGAGGAAGTGGGATGGCAGTGTGTCTCAAAATGATATTCCCAGTAGAAATCCATAAACCACACTAAAGAATTTCTGAATGAGGATAAAAGAGAGTAATGGACATGATACAGCTGCTGGCGTACACTTCAGCCTGCTCAATAATGGAGAATATAGATTAGTTTCTTGGTTCAGATCCCCAGATTGGCCTGGTAATGATGATGTTAGAGATAGGAAACTTCAGGTACCTCATCATTAGTTGGATATCAAATTTATCTTAAAAGGGCGTAGGGATTGAAAATCTGATAAAATCTTGCTGACAGTTTCATTCTAAAAGGATGAGGGGGGAATTCTCTGGTGGTCCAGTGGTAAAGAATCCATCTTACAATGCGGGGGACACGGGTTCGATCCCTGGTCAGGGAACTAAGATCCCATATGCCGCAGGGCAACTAAAGCCTGCACACCACAACTACTGAGCTCGCACGCCTCAACTAGAGAGCCCGCATGCCGCAAACTACAGAGCCCACGTGCCCTGGAGCTCGCACATCACAACTAGAGAAGAGAAAACCTGCACGCCACAACTAGAGAGAAGCCCACGCACTGCAACGAAAAATCCTGCATGCCTCATCGAAGATCCTGCATGCCCCAACTAAGACCTGATGCAGTCAAAAATAAATTAAATAAGTAAATAAATAAATCTAAAAAAATAAAAGGATGGGGGAACTACTATACTGGGCTTAATCCAGACCAAGAACATAAACTAGTTGAAAAACTGAAAGGGTCTCAAAGAGAAAGTAACCATGTAATCTTTGAAAGTGTGATAACCAAGGAGCTTCTGGGTTGGTGAACACACAGAGATTTGGGGAGAGTGGCACACCTGGGCCTGGAGAGGACATGGAAGTTCTGCACCCCTTCCCACATACCTTGCCCTATGCATCTCTTCCATCTAGCTGTTCCTCAGTTTTTGTAATATATATAAATGTCAAATCACTGTGCTGTACCCCTGAAAATAATATAATATTGTATGTCAATTATACTTCAATAAAAAAGGAAAAAGAAAAAAAGAGAGAAAAAAGGTTGATAGCCAACAGCTGAGTGCTGTCAGAAGGATGCAGTAAAGACAGCAAGTCCTAGATGTGGCACCAGTAATTCTGTATTAAAGACCTAATTCTGCCACAGCTATGTGCCCTCAAGTCAGTCAAAACTTTTCACTCCATAATTTCCTCATCCAAAAAAAGGATAATACCCGCCTACTTCACAGGATCCAATAACTAGCTATCTGGGAAGGCATTATGTTACACATCAGTAAATAACACCAGACCGTTAACAAAATTAGCTATTAACAACAGAAAATATTTATTGGGTATTGAGCTCTAACCGCCAGTCAGACACTTAGTTTTACAGGGATTGTCAAGTCCTCTCAGTGGCCCTAGGAGGTGGATACTCTCATTATCCCCATATTACAGTTGAGAAAACTAAGATTTCCAACTGTTAGGTAACATGCCCAAGGCCCCCAAACAAAAACACTGGTGGAACCTGACTCAGAATCCAGGTTTTCTGACTCTAGAAAGCTCACATTTTTATCCATTGTGCTTTATATTGCTTTCAAAATGTAGATTTCACAAAAGTAAATCTCATAATCTAAAACTCTAAAGAGAAGGCAGTTGTTGGTATTTTTAAAAGAAATCCTCAAAAGCAAGATTCTGACAATAAATTGTGCAATTAATTATGAATTACACCAATTCAAATTTATTTATTTTTTCTTTTTTGGGGGTGGAAGCAATCTGGCTTACACTTAAATTGGATATGATATAACCTACTGCGTTTTTTTAAATTGGGGTATAGTTGTTTTACAATGTTGTGTCAGTTTCTACTGTACACTGAAGTGGAGTAGAGTTCCCTGTGCTAGACAGCAGGCTCTTATTAGTTATCTATTTTATACATATTAGTGTATATATATCAATCCCAATCTCCCAGTTCATCCCACCCCCCTCCTGCCAATTCAAATTTAAAATGAGAACAAGCTAAAGAAACCAGTAGTATGGTTGCATAGCATTCTCCAAGGAGTACAGATGTTAAAAGCACTCCCATAAACACAGACATGTACAAAGGAAGATGGCACAGTAAAAAAAAAAAAAAAAAATAGAGTGGTGGTTCTGACCTAAAGGAAAAGTGCTGGGAAAGTCACAGCCCAGAATCAAGGCCCATAAACTAAAGATAACAAAAAGAGCTTTGTGAGAACTGTCTAGATCAACTCCTGCTTCTTTCATTTCTCTATCAAAAAGCACAACCTTTGGGCTTCCCTGGTGGCACAGTGGTTGAGAGTCTGCCTGCCGATGCAGGGGACATGGGTTCATGTCCCGGTCCAGGAAGATCCCACATGCCGCAGAGCGGCTGGGCCCGTGAGCCATGGCCGCTGAGCCTGCACGTCCGGAGCCTGTGCTCCACAACAGGAGAGGCCACAACAGTGAGAGGCCCACATACTGCAAAAAAAATAAAATAAAATAAAACCTTCAACCTGAAGAGGGGAAGAACAAGCCTTGTGGAAAGCAAGAGCTGAAGTTCAAAATAATAGAGCGCCTAATTATTCCAAATCAGTTCAAGCCTCCAGACCTACAAAACCTGACAATCCTGGGAACTCCATGGGAGCCTGATGAACATCTGCTATAGAACTTAAAAGACAAGAAAGGTGTCAAAGCCTGAGGATGAGCAAACATAGTCCTAACTTCAAGAGGGGGCATCTACTGAGGGCTACAAAAGTTCCCAGTCCCTGACAATTTTGACATCAATTCTTGGCAAACTGCACAACTGATCTTTCTTTCACATACATATACACCTAGGCCTGGCCAATAGATTCTTTTTTTAAAAAGGTGGGTTTTGAGGGAATTCCCCGGTGGTCCAGTGGTTAGGGCTCAGCGCTTTCACTGCCAAGGCCCAGGTTCGATCCCTGGTCGGGGAACTAAGGTCCCGCAAGCTAAGTGGCGTGGCCAAAAAAAACCCAAAACCAAACAAACAAAAAAAGTGGGCTTTGAGCTTTTAGGAAGGGGAATACTGATCACCAGAAGTGATTTACTGAAAACAAGTCTTTCAAGAAAGAATACATTAGACTGAAAAGTAAAGGAATGTACTATACAGCAGTGCTACTCAAAGTGAAGTCTTACTTCAGCAGTCTTACTTTACAGTAGCAGTGGCATCAACCTAGGAAGTCAGAAATGCAGACCACAGGCCTCATCACAAACCTGTTTAATCAGAATCTGCATGTTAACAAGACCCCAGATGACTCTTGTGCATGATAAAGTTTGAAAATCACTGAAACACAGAACAGACCTACTTTCAGCAAGGCATTTGATGAGCATTTCATGGCATCTTTGTGGACAATAAGATTTCCTTCTATTAATTTATGTATATTTGCCAGTCAAAATGTCAAGCAGTTGACTACTTACCTCATTTAATTCTCATAATAACCCTACAAAGTAGGCATTATTATCTGTAATTTGCAGATATTCACAGTAGCAAAGATTATAAACAGCACTATCTGCCAGGCACTGTTCCAAGGATTTCACATATATTAAGTTATTTAATCCTCATAACAATTCTTTATGGTAGGTACTAGTATTACGTACATTTTATATATGATGAAACTAAGGCAGAAAGAGATTAAGCTACTTACTCATAATCACAGAGAAATTTATGGTACAGTTCTTAACCACTCCTTTCTATGGCCAAGTGTGCTGCCACAGTGGGGCAGACGATACCCTGTGGGAAACAATAAACAAACATACCCAAAGAATATTAAAAAAAAAAAAAAAAAAAGATTTTAAAGGAATTCCCTGAAAGGAGGGAGACAAATAGACTAATGTTTATTGAGAGCCTACAGTATGCTTGCCAGGCCATAAGTCAAGCACTTTGCATCCATGTTTTATTCAATCTTTCCAACAGCAGGTATTAAGACATTTTATATATGAGGAAATGGAGGCCAAGACAAGTTAAGGACCTTGCCAACTCACACTACTCGTGATGATACAACCAAGATTCCAAAACCAAGTCTGACTCTAAAGCTCACACTCTTT